TATATTTCACAATTTGTAACTCAAATGAATTTGTTGATAATTTAATGAAGATCAAAAGACTACATATTTCAACTCTGTACAAACAAACATAAACATGCTTTGCTTTTTCTCTAATAGTACACTTGTTGTTATTGCACCACATACTAAAATATAAATATATAATTGTCATACACAGTAATACACACCACTGACATACAACAATCAAAAAATTCCAAAATACACCCAAGAGCGCTTGGATGAGATGACTTGAGTCCCTTCCAGCTTAACTAGTGGTCTCGTGTTCGAGCCCTGGGAATGCAGCAGTGTCAAAAACTCTTGAGGGAGAGCTTTGCCGCCCTTGTGGTCCTACCCAGCTCGATTCCGAATTAGTCGGTACCCTTATGGATCCGAAAATCGAGAGGTCCCTATATTAAAAAAAAAAAAATCCCAAAATACAATCGTAAAGACAAACCAAAGTAATTAACCAAGTAATTGAGAAGGGATTGATTTTCCACACTGCATAATTTCCGATTCATTCGATGCTACCCGTAAGGGTAGAGTCCGCTTTCACTGTTCTCCAGTAGAATGAAGCCACGTGGTCCACTACATATTTCTGCTTCTCTTTTTGTTTTCCATCGTATTTTGCTTTTAATTTAAAATTATTTTAACTTTTATCAGTAAAAAAAAACAAATATTTTAGCTTTTGTTTATTGGAGCCCAACTAACTGCTAACTGTACCATGGTTACTTTTTCCATATCAAAAACCACAGATATTTTCCAAACACAGATCTGAAAAATTCCAAACCCCAAACCAAATCGCCCGATTTCAAAAACTCCAAACCCTTTTGACTTGGTAATAACTATATTTTTTTTTTATTTTTTTTCTCCTCTTCCCTTTTGCTATTTATTTATTATTGGAGGAAAAGGAAAAAAAAACAATTATAGATATAATGCATGATTTTAGTTGCAACATTTCTTCAATTAATATCACCATTAGACTAATTAAGGTGATGTAAGAAAAAAATAATAATAATAATAATAACATTATAATATTTGTAATTGCTTTAGACGGGAACTGAAAGTAATGTAATCAAATGCTATGTTGTTTGGGACTACAAGGCTTGAGTTTCATCTCTAGCCTACCCCAATTTGTTTGGGACTAAAAGGCTTTGTTGTTGTTGTTGTTGTTGTTGTTGTAAAGATATG